GATGCCATTGATGCTTGCATTGTTGGCATGTTGAGTGATCCCAAGGAGGCTAGAGCAGGCATTCAAGAAGTGCATTTTCTGCCTTTCAATCCAGTCGATAAGCGTACTGCAATTACATATATTGACAGTCACGGGGACTGGCACCGGGTTAGCAAGGGTGCTCCTGAGCAGGTATATATATGTGTGTGTGTGTTTTTCTAGTATATATCCGCTTTCCATTTTTGTTGTTTAATAGTGTCTCACCGTCTTAAAAATTTCACTAGATCATTGAACTCTGTGAACTTGAAGGAGAGACTCTGAAGAAGGCTCATGAAATCATTGACAACTTTGCCAACCGTGGCCTTCGTTCTTTAGCCGTTGGGAGACAGGTGAGTAGGTGACCAATGAAAGGACAGACAGTTGGTGGGTAAAAGTTGAAAGTTGAGTGTGAACTAATGTGATTATATGTGTTAATGTTTATTTTTTCAGAGTGTACCTGAGAAGACCAAGGAGAGTTTTGGATTACCATGGGAATTTGTTGGTTTGTTGCCTCTCTTTGATCCTCCAAGACACGACAGTGCTGAGACCATCAAGAGGGCTATTGAACTTGGTGTCAATGTGAAGATGATCACGGGTGATCAGCTTGCCATTGGTAAAGAAACAGGTCGAAGGCTCGGTATGGGGACCAACATGTATCCTTCTTCCTCCCTTCTTGGCCAGAGTAATGATCCATCCATTGCTTCAATCCCTATTGATGAGCTTATTGAGAAGGCTGATGGCTTTGCTGGAGTCTTCCCTGGTAAATATATACTAATTAACTAGTCTTTATTTTATTAAAACCGGCCTGATTCTCCATGGAATTGAACTAACAATGGGTTTTGGTTATCTTCTTAAAAAGAGCACAAATATGAGATTGTTAAGAGATTGCAAGAGATGAATCACATTTGTGGAATGACTGGAGATGGTGTAAATGATGCCCCGGCACTGAAAAAAGCCGACATTGGCATTGCTGTGGCTGATGCTACTGATGCTGCAAGAAGCGCCTCGGATATTGTTTTGACCGAGCCGGGCCTTAGTGTCATTGTGAGTGCTGTCTTAACAAGCAGAGCCATCTTCCAGAGGATGAAGAACTACACCATCTATGCAGTCTCCATCACGATACGTATTGTCGTGGGGTTCACACTCCTTGCCCTTATATGGAAATTCGATTTCTCACCTTTCATGGTCCTCATCGTCGCTGTCCTCAACGATGGAACCATCATGACTATCTCTAAGGATAGGGTGAAGCCTTCTCCTATGCCGGACTCCTGGAAGCTCAACGAAATCTTTGCCATTGGCATTGCTCTTGGAACCTACCAAGCTCTCATGACTGCTCTCTTCTTCTTCCTTGTATCTGACACTGATTTCTTCACTGTATGTAATTTCGATCCTTTCATCATATATTTCTTCTTCCTTAGCTTGCCTCGTTTAACTACAAGCTAAGCGGGCGTTTTATCTGATCTTCAGGACTTTTTCAAGGTTAAATCCCTCCATGGTTCACCTAGTGAGCTCACAGCTGCTGTCTATCTCCAAATCAGTATCATCAGTCAAGCACTCATCTTCGTCACGAGGTCTCAAAGCTGGTCGTTTGCTGAGCCCCCCGGGATCTTGCTTCTCATCGCCTTTCTTGCAGCCCAATTCGTGAGTCTTGATTGCTAGCTTGACAACACATTCAATATTGGAATGGCCTATTATTGTACTTAAAAAACTGTTTTTTTTTGTTGTGTGTGGGTAGGTGGCTACAACTATTACTGTATATGCAAACTGGAGCTTTGCAAGAATCCAAGGAATTGGGTGGGGATGGGCTGGAGTCATCTGGATTTACAGCATAATCACATACTTCCCTCTAGACATCATAAAGTTCATCACGCGAGCAGCATTGACTGACAACGAGGTATAGTGCAGAAAAGTTGCCATGACAATACAATCATGAACCACATTCAGTAATTCCTTAATTCTTAGCTTCTTCACTTACTGACACACACATCTTTAACTTTTTGATGCAAACAAATTTAGAATGCTTTCATGTCTAAGAGAACATCTTTGCAGACTTCTAAGGCACCTAACCAATGCAATGAGAAGAACTCCAGCGAAATGACTGATCTTGAATGCGCCCCCGAGGAGGCTACAAGGTACATTTTCAATAGATAGTGTGCTGGACTTGATCCTTCAAGGGTCTCGATTAGCCACCAATTAATAGACTTGGCCTTTGGGCTCCGCCGTCTGGCATGGACTTTGTCCGTCACTGGTCTCGATTGGCCCAACAATCCCCTAGTCGTCTTAACTGCTCTTGTTGGGACTTGAACCCAACTCTGATATCACTTTTTAAGATTAAACGCTTACCACTATGCCAAACACTATAGCTCAAAAGCGCGACTTTATTTCCTTATAGACTGCCGTCAGATTTTCGAGATGCAAAGTTTTGGACTTGGACCTTCCCCGGCCTCTGCCCAATAATTCCTTGACCACTAATTGATAGATTTGACCCTTTACCGGCTTCCGCCCAATACGTTGTTTTGCATTTCATAAGATTACAATTATTGCAACAGACATTATATGTTCACAAGAACCATTTTGCAGGCTGAGAGAGGATGATGCAGTATAAGGGGGCATGTGGAATCACTAATCAGTGGCCAAGGCGAAGGCTTTAGACATCAACACCATTCAGCAACACTCCACAGTCTAAAGTAGAGCAAGAAGATATATAGAAAGCCCAAAAGGAAACATCGTTATGGCTAACATTTTTGTCCTCCTCACATTTAAAGCTGATAGGATGTAGGGTGATATCAGGATGAAGAGAAGGGCTCACTGAGACTAGAAAGGAACAAAAAAAACAAACAAAAACAAAAAGAACTTATACTACCACAAGTACAAGAAACAAGAAAAGGGTGACAAAACGTACGGGATTTACATAGTGCACACCTTTGAATAGTGGTTGCGGTTTTCCTCATTACCCGAAAAAAGAAAAAGAAAAAGGAGAAAAGAAACATATAGAGTAACAAAAGAAAAGAAGCAATGTTTTGTGTTTATTGTTACTATTATTCTGTATTAATGTGTTAGTATAAATCTCTTTTCCTCCACAATCTTTCACTTGTCTCGCAATGTTCTCAATTCTGATACGTAGCGAATAGAAGTTTCCTTGGGTTTTTATTTTCTTTAATTAGGTAGATACTTTTAGATTACACTTAAACTAATTAGAATGTATGTGTCCTTAAAATTAGCGATTAGTGTTTGTAAATAAAATTAATTCCTAATTCGAATTCGAATATATAGTTAAAAACATATCTCTTCGTCATTGTTTTGTTTCTTCCGTCACCTTCCTTGGATCATCTCATTTTGCTCGCAATCCATTTCTTAAAAAAAAAAAAAAAAAACAGAACATAGATAAAAATAAAAGTGTTTTAATGCATCAAATGCTACAAGTCTTTAAGAAAGAATATAGGCTCTGTTTGGCAAACCTAGTTGAAAAGCTATAAGCTAGGAGCTGAAAGCTGAAAAGCTATAAATTCGAAGTTGAAAACTGAAGAGCTGGTAAGCTAGCTGTTATGATTGAAAGTGTTTGGTAAAATTAGCTTTTCGATAAGCTGATAAATGTAAAAAGACTAAAAAGGTCATCTTCATAAAATTTAAATTAGTTTGTTTACTTACATATTAAAAATTAACATTTTGTCTTTAAAAAAATTTGATATTTTGAAATAAAACGATTAGCATAATCATGATCTAGCATCTCATAATGAAGTAGCAATATAGTTGCAAATATAATAATAATAATAATAATAATAATAATAATAATAATAATTGCGGTGAAAGTTGCGAATAAAGGAGAAGAGAGATGAGTTTTAATTGGGAATGGTGAATTATGTCATTTCTTTAAAATAATAAGGATAAAGATGGGAAAAAAAAGTTAGGAAGCTAGGAGCTTATTTTGAACCGCTACCTAAGGTAGCGTTCCAAAATAAGCTCTTATTTTAAGCTATAATCTTATTTTTGGAACATTATATAGCTTATTAGTAGCTTAAAATAAGCTATAAGCCCTAAATAAGCTCTGCCAAACAGAGCCATTTTTGAAAAGAGCTTATTTAGAAGCTTATAGTTATAGTCATGGAATTTATGTATATTCTGTTATACAATTATGCACATTGTTTTATGTGTTTACTCTTAATTTCGTAACAAAAAAATTCCATGTTTTGAAAATGTACATAATTGTATAACAGAATGTACATAATTGTATAACAGAATGTACATAATTGTATAACAGAATATACATAAATTTTTAACTTGTTAAAAAAAGCGCATGTTCGAATGTACATAATTGTATAAAAAAAATGTACATAATTGTATAACAGAATGTATATAATTGTATAACATAATGTACATAATTATATAACAGAATACATATACGCTCTGTCACGTCGACTCCCTACACAACTTAACAAAACGATATCATTTTGAGAAACGTGAAATGCACATTGTTATGTACACCGTGATGCACGGTATAACGATTGCTATTGTTTGGTGTATTGGTGATGTATACATTTTGTATTTTAATTTTTTTAAAAAAAAAACAAAAACTATTAGTGCCGAGTTTCAATAAAATCTTACCCATAAACAAATCTCTTACTTCCAAAAAACATTGTTGCATACATTATGCATCAAATAAAAAAGTTAAAAAAAAAAAAAAAAGTATGTGTGATGTTTTCTTTCTCCCAGAAGGTTAAAACTCAATCCCAATGGCCCATATATCGTCTCACAAGACATTTAAGAATATGTAAATCATGATGACTCAATGACTCAACAGACATACTATCAGTGAAAATTTAATTTTACTTTTTAGATTCTTCTCTCAAATAATGCATACTGAGCAGCTAAATCCGTACGAGTTTCCTGGATTTACAATAGATCGTGTAAATGTTTTCCCGCCAATTCAATATTCCCGCTAAATTGTGTATGTATAATGCATATGGCAGGCATCACACCCCCCACAAATGTGAAAACCCCTAAAACAAGCCACCTAACCGCTCCTTCTTCCATTCAGTGGGTTTCCTACTTTCTCTAATGGCGCCTTCTCAGAAATTAACGGATTACGAACGTCGGAGGCTGGAAAACATCAAGCGAAATGAGGAAATGCTCGCCGCCCTCAAAATTCAATCCCGCCTCTCCGATCTCTCCGCCGCCGCCGCCGCCGCCGCCAAACGTCCCAGGTCCTTTCCATCGCCCTATCCCCCCAAACAAAGTCTTATTTGTAGGATTCTGTTCGTATTTAGGGTTTTTAAAAATGCGATGTGAACAGAGGTACTTCTCTAGGCGCAATAGTTGTTTTTTTATATTAGAAATGTAATACGGAGTACTTCGTAGCTTTCTGTGAATATAATAAATATATGTATCAGTTGTCTGTATTAATGTACGTGCTTGTTAAATTGTTTAATATGATTGGGTATTTATTTGTGATTTTACCAAGTTTTGTTTGTTAAATTTTCTCACTGTTTCCATTTTTGCAGAGTTACATTATTGGGATGCATTTCTGTTTGTAATTGTTGTAAATTACTATTTTTTTCCTTATATGTTTCAATTTTTATTGTTGATATTTTACAATGTGTTCACTCCTCCTTGTACTTGCAGAGTGCAGAATAAGTCTTATAAATTGAGTCCAGAGAAGAAACAGAAGTCTGAGGCTCCCATTGTTCTACGGCGTTCTCTAAGGACACAAGGAAAGCCGCCAGATGCTTCTGTAGCTGATGGTCTTAAAGATGATTTTGATGAGTCCATAAAAAAGAAGAAACCAGGGTTACAGTCCTCACCCAAAAAATTGCCTACAGAACCTGTGCCTATTAATATGAAAGATGCATTTAGTGGTGAGAATAATGGCTCCAACCAACAGTTAATTGAAACAATCAAGGGTTTGTCAAGAAAATCCCAATTAGATGAGAATGCTGATCAAGAACCCATATTTTGTGATCTTAAGAAGAAAAGAAGGCCTTCGGGTTCAGTAGATATTGAGTCATTGAGATTGGAACCAGAAAATATAGCACGGGTTGTGCCTGGAAGAATACTAAATGTGAAGTTTTTCCCAACAACAGGAATGAGAATGGTTGCTGTAGGAAACAAATTTGGAAATATAGGTTTCTGGAATGCTGATGCTAAAGAAGAGGATGGAGATGGGATTTATTTGTACCAACCTCATTCAGCTCCAGTATCAGGGATAGTGATTGAATCATTTTCAATGCCAAAGGTTCGATAGGTCTTTATCTTTAAATATTGTTTTATTGTAATTAAGAACTTATGGCTTTGAATACGTAGGCTTATATAGATGCATAGAAATACAAGTAGTGCTTAATAATTGAAAGGTACTTAACATGATAGTTGGTCATCATTGCCAATTTAATTCATGTTCTTCTCCATATTCTGAAGAAATACCATTATTTTAACTTATTATATGTATTAGGATTATGAGTGAAGTACCAGTTGAACATGTCTAGATTTTGTTACTGCATTCTACATATTTTTTATAGATATGTTCATGGATAAAGGTTTTGGTTTGTTAACATAATATGTAGATCCAGTGCTCTGATATTATGGTTGCACTTTGTGTGCAGATGTACACATGCTGTTATGATGGGTTTATCAGGTTGATGGACATTGAAAAGGAGCTATTTGATTCCCTATACTTCAGTGATCATTCTATATATGCTTTGTCCCAGAGACCAGATGATATGAATTCACTGTATTACGCTGAGGGGAATGGGAAACTCGGAATATGGGATTTGAGGGCTGGAAAGTCTTCATCATCATGGAGTTTGCATGAAGATAGAATCAACTCGATAGATTTTAACTTAGAGGACAAATATATTCTGGCTACAAGTTCAACAGATGGAACTGGCTGCATTTGGGATATGAGAAATGCTGGATCTAAGAAACCAAGGTCTTTGAGAACTGTTCACCATAAAAGAGCTGTGCATTCTGCTTACTTTTCAGGATCTGGAAGATTTCTTGCTACAACAAGGTAGTTCATCCTAGATAATCTAATACCCTACTACCAATAGAAATAGTTCTAAGAAAGAACAATTTGTGCTTAACTTCATTGTCTATCAAATATTAAGTGTTTAACTTTCCTGGACATATACTGCAGAGTATGAGGTTTTCCTTGAGTTCGTTGTTGATTTTTTCACACTGCTTGCTTGAATGTATTTAGGCAAAAAGGAGGTCCCCTTGGTGCTTCAGTATACAAATTTGGTCTTTTTTGGTATCTCCTTGTGCCTGGAAGTTTACTATAGGAAATAAAAGCCATAATGCATGACATTTGTTTAAGCCTAGTAAACAATCATAGTCATTTGTGTGGTCTTATGAGATCATCAATAGTCTTGTGTTAGTGTCTAATTGGCTATTTTGTGGACTGGTTGTTAGACTTGACTTTTTTCCTGGCTTGGGCAGTTATGATAACAACATTGGCTTGTTAAGTGGAGCTAATTATGAAGATGTAAGTATGATTCGTCACTACAATCAAACAGGCAGATGGATTTCCTCATTCAGGTATGTTTGTTCTCATTCCTTAATATTTCTAGCAAAATACTGCTTTGACAAGCATAAGTTATACAGATGAGCATTATGTTATTCTTGAAAATTCTGAATCATTGCTTCCCTATTTGGCTAGATTCTAGGCTATATGCTTTAATAAGCTATATGTGGTAGTGGTTAAGCATGTTTCACATGCTGAAGGTTAGATTGTTAAACAGAATTTGATGTACAAATTCTGAACTTACATATCGACTTTATGATAAATTAAATTTGGCATTTTCTTATGTATCTTTGGACAAAATACACCTTGCAAATAATTTATATAGGTCTGACTATACATAAACAGCATAGTATACAGTTCAGTTGCCTGTCCATTATTTGTTTCTTCTGATTTTAATTTTTTTTTTTTGTCGCAAGCAGAGCTATATGGGGTTGGGATGATTCCTATATATTCATTGGCAACATGCAAAGGGGAGTTGATGTGATTTCGACAGACAAACAGAGAATTGTTTCAACATTACAAAGTGAACATATGTCTGCTATTCAAAGCCGCTTTGATGCACATCAGAATGAGGTCGGGATGCTTGCAGGTACTACTGCCGGTGGTCAGGTATATCTATGGACATCGTCTTAAGACCACATGCACCATTATTTGTTAAAATTTGCGCTAACTGGTGCGCCACTGCTTGTACAACTAAAAACCATTTTTGTCTTACTATTGTATCTTATTGTATCATTAGATTGGCTGTTTATTGACTTTCCTCGTGTAAAACTTTATTTGAGACTTGGTATTATAGATGAAGTAAGGTATTGTTTCCATTCCCAGACATCAGCAAAAATTCTTGTGTTAAACAAGCATATCCTCAGGAAAGCAATTTAGATGGCAATCCTAAACAGATGTAATGTTAAAGTGACCTCGTAAACTCAGTGGTTAATGGCATTAGATTAATCTAATCCATCAAGGAATCACACGGAATAAAAGAATGAACCAACTCTCATAATCTTGCAATCCAAATAACTAAAGACTAGTGCTTGGGATGATAAAACAGTTCCCCAAGATAAGCAACCTTAACAATGGAATACCCTAGTTTACAACAAGGAAACATTAACCATGGTATTTGACAAGCAAAACCTAATCAATAAATGATCAAAGACTTAATATTTCAATCCATGTGTAAAACCCACCAATAACCTAGGCAATTGAAACCTGACCAAAGAATGGCATGGTACAAAACCAAAAACTTCCGTTCCCAGACATCAGGAAAAACCCTTCTGTTACACAAGCATATCCTCAAGCACAACACAATGGCCTTTTAGACAACACGAAGAAAACAATTTGGACGGTAAACCTAAACAGATTTAATGTCGGAGACCTCATGAACTCATTGGCTAATGGCATTACATTAATCTAATCTATCAAAGAATCACACTGAATAAAAGAATGAAGCAGTTCTTCATAATCTTGCAATCCCAAATAACTAAAGACCATAACTAGTGTTTGGCATGATAAAATAGTTCCAAGAAAAGCAAGCCTTTGTACAGATACCAATGTTCAAAACTAGAATTCAATTTGGGATAACAATGGACTACCCTAGACAACCAAAACCTAATCAATAAATGATCACAGACTTAATATTCCAATCCATGTGCATACCCAACAAAAACTAGGTAATTGAAACCTAACCAAAGAATTTAGAAATCAAAACCTAAAGTACAATCAAATGAACACGGGCACAACATTCCAATCCATATGTAAACTTGAAAAGAAGACATACTCATGGTGTAGTCTGTAATTCAAAATAAATCACACATCCATAATTAAAATTGAGTTAATCCAAAAAAGTAGATCCATTACTCAAATGAAAATATCATCTGGAAAACATATTAAGTACCAGTATTTCAGAAAACATCAGTAGCACCACTGTCTCAGTTTTCACTAACCTATTACAGATAAATAAAACAAAAACCCAATTTTCTTCTTAAGAAGGTCCATGGAGACTATCTCCAACTTAAAACCCTAGCTTGGTGCGACGCCAGTGCCTGCGCTTAGCATTGTACCTGACAAACAAATGATACCATATTTGGATTTAAGAAAATTCAAACTAAACCTTTGAATCTATGTCAAACTAAGTTAAATTAACAAATACATAAAATTGCGACTTTGGATTTGATGATATACCTGATGGTGTTGTCGGTCCTCATGCGAATCCAGTAAGGAATAGGCCTGTTCTGTCTCTGCTTCTTCGCCAGCTTCTTCTTGATCATGAAGGTCTTGTGCGACGGCTGATATTAAAAAAAAAAAACATTTAGATTTAACCAAAAGAATACGCCAAAAATATACATATATATTGGTATACAGAGAGAAAAGTAGACGATAGAAGGAAGTGAGAATCACCATTTTCAAAGAAGCAGGAGCTTGGCGAGGCAGAGTTCTGAGGGAGATAACGACTTCTGTTTTCTGAAAACCCTAGGCTGTGGAGTTTATGTAAGTGTAAATCAATGGGCTAGTTACGGTATGGGCCGGACCAATAACGAGCTCTTTGTGTCCAGGGTCTGATAAATAGGAAAATTGTGGGCAAATGTTATTATGGACCATGATTCATGTAGTGGCAAATTATGCCCAGGATCCGTGTCCACAATGAATTGTAGACACGGGCGCAAAACGACGTCGTTTTAAAAAAAAAAAAAAACGCATTATTTAGTTATAAAAAAAAATCGCGCGTGTTTTGCCGTTAGCGGCGTTTTTTTTTTTTTTTTTTTTTTTTTTTTGGATTATGAATGTACAGTTATGTCGTTATGAATGTACAATTATGCCGTTATGAATGTACAGTTATGCAATTATGAAATTATGAACACAGAGCTCTAACATTATGAACCTACAATTATGAACATATAGTGATAAAATTATGAACATAGAGCTCTAAAATTGTGAACATAGAGCTTCGAAAATTATGAATGTACAATTATGGAGTTATGAATGTACAGTTATGGAGTTATGAATGTACAGTTATAGAGTTATGAACGTACAGTTATGGAGTTATGAATGTACAATTATTAACATATAGTAATAAAATTATGAACATATACTACTATAACGAAGCGGTCTGAAATTAAAAAAAAAAAAAAAAAAAAAAAAAAAAAAAAAAAAAAAGATAACAGTGCCTAACGGCACTGTTACCCGTGTCCAGCATGCATGCTAGACACGGGTCCAATGCATAACGATTGTCATGTAGTAGCGTGGATTATAAAGTAAAACAATATCGTTTGATTTTAATTTTAAAAAACCAAAGTCATTACTGTTTTCGTAGTTCGCTACCATTGTAAGAGCTTTTTTTTTTTTTTTTTTTTTTTTTAATTTCATTTTTCAAACACATTAGTTTCATTATATAACGCTGAAGTGTTATTTTAATTATGCTTCACGTCTTTGCTATCCAATTTCACGCAATAGGTTTATTATAGATTTTTTTGAGTACTATTGATTCTGTTACAATGCAGTATTTGTTCATAACTACTTTTTCAATCTACTGAAGCACAAAGAGTCAATAGTACTCGAACCCACAACCTCACATATGGGAGAGCAACTTGGTGCCACTAGATCACAAGATCTTTGGCACTAAAGTATCATTTTAATTCCACTACATGTTCATTTGACAATATACATATGGGTTAATTCCACCAAAGATCCATTGTCTTTGGTGGCAATTCCAAATTTAGTCCCAGACTATCATTTTTGCCATTTAATATCCTAGACTATTTCTTTTTGGACACTTTTAGTCCTTCTCATGATTTTTTTATAAAAAATAAATAAATTAAATTTGAGTTAATCTAACCACATTGATGATAACTTAGAAATCTCTTTCTATTAGGAAATCAATTTTATCCTGTGACCAACTAAGCTACTCATTCGAACAAATATAGAGACAATGCGCATTCGGGGAATTGAACCCCGGTCTGTACCGTGGGAGGGTACTATGATACCACTACACTAAATGCGCTTCTTTTTTTTTTGCAAGATAAACTTTGTAAGCTGAATTGTTGTGCCAATCACAATTTTTATCATATTAAATTTTGCTATACTGAAAAACTTACACTTAAGGTTAAAGTACTTTTTACAGTTTTACTGAGGAACTTCAAAGTTGATATCAAACAACCAAAATATTTTTTTATCAAAAAAAATTAATTTTTAAGCTACTCATGTGAACAAATAGGATAGAGACAATGCGCTTCTTTTTTTGCAAGATAAACTTTGTAAGCTATTTTGACAATGCGCTATTTCTTTGTAAACTTAGAAATCACTTTCTATTGAGGAAATCAATCTTACCCTGTGACCAACTAAGCTACTCATGTGAACGAATAGGATAGAGACAATGCGCATTCGGGGAATTGAACCCCGGTCAATACCGTGGGAGGGTACTATGTTACCACTACACTAAATGCGCTTCTTTTTTTTGTAAGATAAACTTTGTAAGCTGAATGGTTGTGCCAATCATAATTTTGAGTTATGCCAATCATAATTTTGAGTTAATTTAACCAAACTTACCACGTTGATGAGAACTTTTTTTGTAAGATAAACTTTGTAAGCTGAATGGTTGTGCCAATCATAATTTTGAGTTATGCCAATCATAATTTTGAGTTAATTTAACCAAACTTACTTACCACGTTGATGAGAACTTACAAATCACTTTCTAAATCAATCTTACCCTGTGACCAACTAAGCTACTCATGTGAACAAATAGGATAAAAACAATGCGCATTCGGGGAATTGAACCCCAATCAGTACCGTGGGAGGGTACTATGTTACCACTACACTAAATGCGCTTCTTTTTTTGCAAGATAAACTTTGTAAGTTGAATGGTTGTGTCAATCACAATTTTTATCAAATTAAATTTTGCTATACTGAAAAACTTACACTTAAGGTTAAAGTACTTTTTACAGTTTTACCGAGGAACTTCAAACTTGATATCAAACAACCGAAATATTTTTTTATCAAAAAAAAATGAAATTTGAGTTAATCTAACCAAACTTACAAATCACTTTCTATTGAGGAAATCAATCTTACCCTGTGACCAACTAAACTACTCATGCGAATAAATAGGATAAAGACAATGCGAATTCGGGGAGTTAAACCCCGGTCAATACCTTGGGAGGGTACTATGATACCACTACACTAAATGCGCTTCTTTTTTTGAAAGATAAACTTTGTAAGCTGAATGGTTGTGCCAATCACAATTTTTTATGAAATTAAATTTTGCTATACTGAAAAACTTACACTTATGGCCTGTTTGGTTCACGGAATAGGCCAGGAATGGCATAACATTCCCAGTAATAAGCCTATTCCTTTGTTTGGTAACCATTTCTATTACCCGGAATAATATTTCTGGTAATAGCTATTACTAGGGTCCTCCTGGTATTAGCCTATTACTGAACGATCATGAATATATTTTAGAATCTATTTTCTTTTTTACCCCTTTCTTTAACCTATTTTTTTATCCTATATATAAATTTATCCTATTTCACCACCGTCGTCGTCGCCACCACCACCATCACCGCCGTCGCCGCCACCACCACCACCATCGCCGTCGCCGTCACCACCACCACCACCATCGCCACAACCGTCGCCGCCCCCACCACCACCACTGCCACCGCCACCACCACCACCACCACCACCATCACCACCACCGCTACCACCATCGTCGCCGTCACCACCACCACCACCACCCAGCAGTACCACCGCCACAACCGTCGCCGCCCCCACCACCACTGCCACAACCGTCACCGTCACCACCACCACTACCACTACCACCCCAGCACCACCACCGCCACCACCACCATAGCCACCACCACCACCACCACCACCATCGCCACCATCACATATTTGTATAAGGGTATTTATGTCTTTTAAAACAAATTTCATTTCTATTTCTTAAATCAACCAAACACTGTAATATAATTCCTAAAGTCTATTCCTTCCGTGAATCAAACATAAGAATACAATTCCTATTTTATTCCTTGTCTATTCCATTCCTTATGGAATAGCATTCTTATTACCTCAAAATTCATTCCGTGAACCAAACGTGATGTTAAGGTTAAAGTACTTTTTTACAATTTTACTAAGGAACTTCAAACTTGATATCAAACAATCGAAATATTTTTTTATCAAAAAAAAATTAAATTTGTGTTAATCTAACAAAACTTACTACCTTGATACTAACTTACAAATCACTTTCTATTGAGGAAATCAATCTTACCATGTGACCAACTAAGCTACTCATGCGAACAAATAGGATAGAGACAATGCGCATTCGGGAAATTAAACCCCGATCAGTACCGTGGGAGGGTACTATGATACCATTACACCAAATGCGCTTCTTTTCTTGAAAAATAAACTTTATAAGCTGAATGTTTGTGACATTCCCAATTTTTATCAAATTAAATTTTGCTATACTTAAAAACTGAAACTTAAGGTTAAAATACTTTTTACAATTTTAATAAGGAACTTCAAACTTGATATCAAACAACCGAAATATTATTTTATTAAAACAATTAAATTGAAGTTAATCTAACCAAATTTACCTCCTTGATAATAACTTACAAATCTCTGTCTATTAGGAAATCAATTTTACCATGTGTCCAACTAAGCGCTACTCATGCGAATAGATATGAGGGGAATTAACCCCGGTCAGTACCGTGGGAGGGTACTATGATACCATCTCTCTGAATATATATTTTGAACAATATATATTAGGAATAAGGTTCAAATTGGCCACTGAACGTAACCTGAAAATGCAATTAGGCCACTGAACGAAAAAAAAAGTGCAATTCGGCCACTGAACACTCTAAAAACATGCAATTAGGCCACTAAATACTCCAAATGTATGCAATTTCACCGGATAGCAGGTTACCATCAATTTTAACAGGTGACCTGCTTACGTGGCAGCTGAGTTGGCATTTTTAATAATTTTTAAATAATTTTTTTTTGGGTACATAATTTTTAAATAATTTTAAGTGAAAGCATTTCCTACAAAGTCATCAAATTAATCTGCTTAGATTATATATTTTATTAAGGTTTTTAATTCTGAGCTACATAGCCTGTACCTGGTTCTGCTGAAGCATATCTTAATCGAAGATTGTTATGTCATGCACGGTTCAGTCCTAAATAGGTATTAGGAAGGGTTGTAGTGGTAAAGGCTGAGAGTCATTTGTACTTACCTTTGTATAACTCCTTGGTGAACATCTATAGTGTATTGGGCAGACGTGGGTTGCCCCGCAGACGTAGGAGAAGCGCTCCGAACTGCGTAACAATTCTATTGTGTTCTTACTTTATTTTATGCTTTCAGTATCAGTTATTTACATTTGATTAACTAATCCAATTAATGAATGGGATTGTCGCATAATATAAAATTAAGTAGAATTCTAAGTTATATCTTGCATTCAAGACTCACGGTGTAATTTCAGATCTTGCTACCCAAGTCTGACTCTATTGCGACTCTTCTATCCATAGACAATATCTCTATTAATTTGAACTGCATATCAAGGTTCAGATCTTCTTCGGTGCTCAGGATGAAGCAAACATACTCCATTATCAGATAAATTGTTTCACCTTATGAAAAAAGAACTCACCAAATAAACGAGAGAAAAACTCGTTAAAGACATGAGAGGAAATAACTCACAAATGAAACGAGAGGGAATAACTTTAACAAAACAACAAATGAAAATCAAATATAAATCAGCCAAAATAAATCCTAAACACCAAACCACTCACTAATATGTGTGTGTGTGTGTGTATTGATTGAACTGCTGAAAAAATGTAAAGAAGCTTGGATCTGGGGTTGGAGATGGTGAGGGACGGTGGTGAAGGAGGAAGAAACGTTGGTGAGGGGCCGGAGGAGATGGTGGCGGTGGAAGAGAGGCGGGAAGAGGTACCGCCAGCGGAGGAGAGGCCGAATGATAGGCGATTGAGATTCGGTCGGAGTTTGGGAAGAAACGAGAGGAGGCCGGCGCCGCCTCCGCAAAACGAGCGGAGGCAGTGGCCGATCAATGAAGGACGAGGGAAAACCCTTGCAGAGAGAATATTAGGTTATAATAGAAACAATTAATACATCATGTCATGAATAAATAAGTGTAAAGTAAAAAATATGTTTTATTTGCATAACCAAGCATAATATATAAGTTATTATATATATTAGATCATATCAGGATGAGGTGATTCCGAAGAAAGGGCAGCTAACCGCTTTCCCTCACACTTATGGCCCTTATAGCCCGAACACCATCATAATGGACTCGTACTTCGATTGTAAGAGGCACATATCAAGAACTCTCCAACCACTGCTCAAAATAGCTCCCAAAGTTGCAAGCACATCTTACTACTTCGTTTTGTTCCCGGTAAATCCATTGTATAGAGACCATCTAGCTTTTATTAAGTCATATGCTCAGCTCCTCAATAAACTCTGTCAGTGGCCTTCTAAAAACAGTTTTTTCATTAATCAAATTAATTACGTTCTTGGCGTCAGATTGAATTTTGATCGCACGGATTCATTTATTCCAAGTCCATTGCAGTCAAAATATAAAAGAGAAAATAAAAGTATAAATAATATCCAAATATACAAAAAAAAAGAAAAAAATAAACACAATGCATGTATAATTTATCATTACCACCAATTACACCAACACGATTTTTAGTGTGACTATGTATGTCCCTACACCAACACATTATTTTGAATGTAGAAATCTCAAGTACTAGTGTAAAACTTTTTGAAAGAAAATTTCTTTTGATCTTTTTTAACAAAATAATATGAAGCCTCTTCTTCAGTTTTCCGCATCTCAAAAGCGCGGTCTATATGAGCACATAGTGCACAGAATCACAGATCCAACGTATACTGTTCTATTTCTGCCATAATTCAAAACCCTCCCCAGAAACCCAATTAACAAGAATTCGAAACACAATGCCTCCTCGCGCTTCCAAGAGAAAAGCTAATCCCACCAAATCTGCCCCTGCCAAATCTCCAAAAGTTGATTCTGTTCGCTCCGGTAATCTCCCCTTCTCCGTGCACAGATAGGGTCTTGGTTTGAATTGTCGGTCCGTTTTAATTTCATTTTGTTGTTATAATTATGATCATTCTTGAATGCCCGCGGAGAATTATAATAGCCCGTTCAGAAAGATTGAGCTTTATTAGGTTTGGATGAGATTGGTTTATGTGGGAAGATTTTGGATGAAATTTCTGGGGCAAAACGATTTGCCTTTCTCTTTTACTCATAATAATGGCCTCAGATTCTCGAAGGAAGGGAAATTTTGGTTCTTTTGATTCTGAAAGGTGGAAAGTTTAGATAATTACTTTCAGAATTAGATTCTGTTAGTTTTCGTAATTATTTGGAAACATATATTTAAATCCCAGCTGTTATTCATATTCTATACAGATGTTTCTTGGTGATAGGTCCTTGGATTCTGGTGGGGATCTTGGTTGACATTTAATGTGAAAATTGTTTTGTTGTTTATTACTAAGGCAAAAGATTGAGGAATGAAATTCACATGTTTCTATTTCCCCATCAGCACTATTGCAAGGAAGCTCCTTGCTTTTCTGATTTCACTGTCAATAGTGATCATCTTGGCAGGATATAAAAACTCTATCTACGGCTTCTTTTGTTACCCAAGCGGACATTCAATGCATATTGATGATACAAATACTACCCGGCCAATCGTTCCTTTTCCTTGGATGTATAATCCAATCTCCAGATTATGAAAATATATGTAGTCAAGTTAGCTCCTAAAAACCTGTTGTAGTTGAAATATGATGTAGATTGTAAAATCTTCTTTAAAGGCATATTACCTTTTGGTAGTTACTGTCTTACTTACTTCATCTCCCAATGTAGTTTAGCCTCAAGCAAAGGGAAAGCTGCATCAAAAGTGACGGAGTCCATAGATAACCTTTTCAATACATATGCTAACAAATCGTTGGGTTCAATTGAGTAAGTACATTTTTTTTTTTTCCCAATTCATTGTGTATCGTTTTACTGTTGTATCTAATTTATTAGCTATTGATGGAGTTGATTGTTTCTTTACAAGTTAATCTTCTGGCATTCCATCTAGTCATATTCTCACAATCTCTCACTAGTCAATAGAATTAATATGGAAAATGATGGTCTCCAATATTATATAGCATGCTTCATGTTTTTGGTAACTGTCAAACAATTTAATGTTTTGGAGATTTCTATGCTTCCATTGACTAATTCAGCAAGTGCTGCTTTATTTTCTAGACTAGATGATTACTGAATGAGTTCTCTTGCTGCTAAAGCAAAATATTTTCAAGTTCTGCACTTCTCTCTCTCTCTCTCTCTCTCTCTCTCTCTCTCACACACACACACACACACACTTTCTTTGAAATACTATGAAATTTCATTACAACTATTACGTATTTACATAGCCACATTAGTGTATAAAGAATCTCCATTAACTTGAGGAACTAACCATTAGCAACTATTGCAATAATCCACATAAGGCTACACAGAAATTTAGGACTTCTATATGATTTGGGTTTATACCTAAACAAAGAGTAAGCATTGTTATCTTATGGTGGTGTCAAAGATAAACTACTTCAGCAATTTATTTGATTAATCATGCAAAGAATAAACTTTTTGATAAACTATGGTTTTTTTTTTTTTTTTGGGTGTGGAAATTTAGACCTAGTCTAGGCATATATAATTTAGTTTTTATTCACCAAAGGTAGTGTCATGGATGTGTTTTCATGAACCTTTATTGGAATCAATCCTTGTTTCTCTTTGCACAGTCCAGATGGAGTTGAGGCATTGTGCTCGGATCTAGGCGTAGATCATACTGATGTCAGGGTGTTGATGCTTGCTTGGTAAGTCAGTTGTTGACATTATGTGTGTGTGAATGTAATTTATTTGCGCTAGATTTCCATTGGATGTAACTGACCTTTGACAGTTCTCAGGAAAATGAAAGCGAAAAGACAGGGATATTTCTCTCAGGTAAAACACTTAGCTCGTTCTTATATGACTAGTGTTGCATACCCTTAAACTGTTTTATTTTATTTTTCATTTAATATAAAAAACTTTAAATTGTCAGGATGAGTGGCAATTAGGGTTGAAAGCTCTTCAGGCTGATACCATTACTAAATTGAAGAAAGCCCTCCCAAAATTGGAGGCAGAGGTACCTTGTGAGCTGAGTTTTCTGTGTACTAATGGCATGGTTAATACATTGTGTGATTGAATGTGTACCCTTTTGGATAATAGGTCATGATGCCTGTGAATTTTGAGGATTTTTATGCTTTTGCATTTCGCTACTGCCTAACAGGTACGCCAGGAAGAATTTCAAATTCTGTGCAGCTTTTACTCAACTTTAATTTTTATAGTCCTTTCTCTAGATTATAAACTGCATGCCTTCCTTTTTCAGAGGATAAACAAAAATGCTTAGACATTGATAGCATCTGTATACTGGTGGATCTTGTTCTGGGGTCACAGTTCCGAGCTCAGGTTGACTCATTCGTAGAATATCTTAAGGTTGTATCCCTTATATCTTTATCTTTCTTCTGAAGCTATTTGGATGCTGAATTTAGATTGGTTTGTATCGGAACTCCCAGGACTGTTTTGTTTTGCCTAAACTGGAGAATTTGATTGGAGTCATGGTTATGATTATAGATTTGTTTTTATTTTATTTTATTTTATTTATTTTGAATTGTCAAATCATGAGTCTGAGTATAATAATGATTTTTTTTTTTTTTTTCCAGAGTCAAAGTGATTATAAAGTACTCAATATGGATCAGTGGACAAACTTTCTTCGATTTTGCCAAGAGGTACTTCTCATTGTTGCTACTTCCTTTTAGTGTGTTTTATTAGAGCTAAATCTAGTTTTGGTTCCTTGACTATTGCATTTAAGAGTAGAAGTGGCACATTTTCAATAGTTGAGGACCAAAAATGGTTGATTTTGAACTCAAGGACTAAAAGTGGGAAAACGCAATAGTCAGGGGGGACTAAAACTGGAATTAACTTGTTTTGTTATTAATTTATTATCTTCGCAAGACCAAACAATAATATTTCCACTTCATCTCATAATTCATGCCCGACCGTATCATATTGATTGTATCTTATGACCGTATCATCTCATAATGTGTATGAGGATGGCTTCAAGTTTTTGACGACACCTATCTTCATTATGAATCTTTTTTTTTTTTTTTTTTTTTTTTTTTTTTTTCTTTTTCTTTTAATTTGCAATTTATATACTGCCTACATGATGTTTATGGCAGTGGTTACGTTCACTTTATTTTGTAAAAGTGTCAAATAGGTCAACTTATAACTTTTGTTCAATTGGGTCACTAAATTTAAAACGTGTGCAATTGAATCATTAAACAAGCAAAATATTAGTAATTATGATATTTTCTTGATTTCTTCCGGTGCAATTTGAGTTGAAAAGATTTCAATCTTTCCTCCAACTAGCGTGGCTGAGGAAAAGCCAATTCTCTTTTTGAGGGGCTTGGGGGTTGAACCTTATACATTTTAATTTCTAACCTAAAGTCAAAGGCTGATAGCACTTGATCACAAGGCGTTGGGTAGGAAAAGGCAATTCTTAGTACATACCATGTAAGCAATGTCATTGGATTATGTTAAAATCTACGGTTGGGATAAGGTCACTTAACTGGGCTATATAATGCACATCAGCTAAACCACACTAAAAGTCTAAATCCAATCAATTAACTAATCTAACCCATGACCTTATAAACTCATATGTTCTCGCTTATTTTTTCAATGTGGGACTCACCAATACCACGGGTAGACAACCGGGTAAACACAAAGGGGATTGAACGTCTAAACATGCTCTGATACTATCTTATAATCTAAGATTGGGCCACGATCACTCAATTGGCTATAATGCAATGGGACAAACCACACTAAAAGACTGAATCTAATCAATTAGTTTGTTTAACCCATGGCCATATGTTCTCTTATTTTTTAAATGTGGGACTCTTAACAGATTCTACTGCAAGAAATTGGAAAAATATCCCAATTGCACATATTTTTCTTGTTTGATGGTTTAATTGCATATGTTTTAAGTTCAGTACCCCAATTGCACACGAGATAAGTTCAGTAACTTATTTGACACTTTATCCTTTTATTTTTATAAACTTTAGTTACTTTTCCTTTTTGGGAGGGTAAAGGGTGGCCTCTGGTAAACTGGGTTTGTTCTTCTACAGGCTGCTTATGTCTTTTTGGTGGATGTATTTTTATTTGCAGATAAGCTTCCCAGACCTCCAAGATTACGATACAAACCAAGCATGGCCCGTAATTCTTGACAATTTTGTAGACTGGATGAAAGAAAAGCGAAGCTAACTGCCAGCTTGAAACCATCCCTCCTTAATGCTAATTTCACAAGGTAGCCATTGTACCAAGTTTTACAAGAAGTGAAGTTTCTTGCAACCATTTAATTATGAGACAAAGACGTTTGTGTTTGCATGCAGGGCTTCTCCGAACTCCATGACGGAGCCAAAGTACTCGTGAATCATTGCGCTACTGAGAATATGAAGCTGGTCTGCCAGGATACAAAATTCAATCTCAGATTTTACTTACATTCCTGCTAAATTACTCATACAAACTATTTTGAGTCATGCAAAAAAAAAAAAAAAAGGAAAAAAAAAAACAGAAGCATTGTATGGAATGATGAATTTTTGCTAGCTCTATTTAAGTTGCATGGATTCATTTTTAGCCACATTTCTCAATCCCTGAATCCTTATATATTTATATGCTTGAAACTCATGTCATGAAGCAAATGCAGATTGAATGACAAAATCATCCCTCTTGAATTCTTTGTTGATGTTTGTCTCTAAAGATTATGCTTTCTGTTTTTATGTTATTTTGCTCTATAGTACGACTGTACGAGTAGTTAGTAGTGTTTCACTATTTCTGCATTTCTAGAACCATAACATAGAAAACCTTGTTGGCCCTTGAGAAAATTGAGGGTGTGTTTGGTTCATGAGTTTATACAGGAATAGAGAATCTGATGCATTTATGGGTAAATAGTACTATAGAAGGAAGCATAAGATCGTCGGTTACCAAGATTGAGATTTCTTCATTTTTTTATTTTCAGTAAATAAGATATTTAGGATCCATTTTATTCCTAGCACAATATTATTATTTCTTATTTTAGCTCTTTTGTAAACGAGTAGTAGCATGCTGCAATGAGAGGTAAGTTAGAATTTGAATAAAATCAAAAGAAGGAAGAAAGTTTTTTGTTTGTTTGTTTGTTTTGTTTTGTTTTTGTTTTTTTTTTTTAATGTTATTGATTCTATTACAATGTAGTATCTGTTCATACATACTTTCTCAATTTATTGAAGTACAAAAAGTCAATATTCCCACTCCAACTCTCTCTTAAGGCTCCGTTTTTCCTTATTCACATTGGGAAGAATATAACTTAATCGTTCAAATTTTATCTTTCATGGGCCCGTAACAAGGAGTATAACTCGTGATCATATCAATTTGGTTCCTGTTGTCGGCGTTATGGGCAATAATATCACGAATAATCCTGGTTTCAAAGCACTGCAGAAATCTGTTCACTCCCTAGAGGCTTATGCTGACAAGATTGAGAACATACATATCTTCCACTGTGTCTTCCCTTTTTGCAACACAACACCAGCAGGTTTGCTCAGCAAGCAGCATATATTAAATTGACCTCCTAAGTCAACCGAATAGTTCAATTGGATCCCTTAATTAAAAAAAAAGCTCAATTCAAATCCCCTAAATCGTTAAATTATTCAATTTAATCCAAATTTACTTGTTTAGCAGGTTAAATTCATTGTAGGTTTGACATGTGTTTTTTTTTAATTTTTTTAAGAAGACATGTTATTTATTTAAGAAATAAAAATTAAAAACATTAAAAAAAGAGAAATATATCCACGACCGTCTAAAAAAAATTGGAATGTTTGAATTTTTTTAAATGGACATGGTTGTCTGTTACGGAGATAGCCATTAGCTCTTCTCGTCGGACAGTTGGTGGTTGTATTCCTCTTTATTATTATTATTATTATTATTATTATTATTATTATTATTATTATTATTATTATTATTATTATTATTTCTTAAATAAATAACAAGTTTTTTTTAAAAAAAAAAAATTAAAAAAAGACACGTGTCAAACTTACAATGAGTTAACTTGCTAAACAAGTCAATTTGAATATTTTTTTTTTAATTTTTTTGAAGGTTAACCAGTGTGGTTGTATTTATAAATAAACTGAAATAGAGTCAAGTGGAACTTCGTCCCAATACATAGCTGTAGTAAACTGAGAAGCAGTAGAAGCTAACGTATGTGCTAAGTAATTCTGCGATCTAGGAACAAAATTAACTAAACAGGAAGTCGAACAAAATTAACTGAATAGGAAGTCAATTTGAATTTAATTAAACAATTTTACCGATTTAAGGAATTTGAATAAACTTTTTTTTTTTTTTTTTTTTTTTTTTTTTTTTTTTTTTACTTAGATGGCCTAATTACACTGTCCGATTGACTTAGGAGACAATTTGACATTTTTTCATATATATATATATATATATATATATATATATATATATATATATATGTGTGTGTGTGTGTGTGTGTGTGTGTGTGTGTGTGTGTGTGTGTGTATGTATGTATGTATGTATGTATGGGAAGGGATCAGGTGCGGGTGGTGCTTCCCGTGCAGTTGTGTGGGTGGACTCACACATTAAGTATTACACTGGCGCACTTTAAGTGTACAATAGACGCACATTAAACACACAAACTCACGCACGTTAAGCACAAAATTCACGCATCTTAAGCTCAACCCTTACGCACCTTAAGCACAAAACGCACGCACATTAAGTACAAAAACACACGCACCTTAAGTTTTAACAACTCACATTAAGTAAACACTCACGCACATTAAGTACAAAACTCATGCACCTTAAGCACAATACTCATGCACCTTAAGCACAAAACTTACACACATTAAGCACAAAACTCATGCACTTTAAAGTTTCAACAACAACTCACATTAAGTACACACTCACGCACATTAAGTACACAACTCACGCACCTTAGACACAAGACTCACGCATTTAAGTACAAAACTCACGCATATTAAGCACTACACACTCATGCACATTAAACACAACCCTCATGCATCTTAAGCACAAGACTCACGCACATTCAGTATAAAATTTAGGCACATTAATCACCGGTACAACCGCACGGGGAGCATATATATATACTTTATGTTTCACAATTTCTGCATTTCTAGAACGGTAACATAGAAAACCCCGTTGACCATTGAGAAACTGGCCAATACAAGAAGAAGCACTGGGCAGGTAAAAGTCAAAATTGAAGTCTTCGATCTCCATTATATTGTTTTAACACGAAAACATTCTTGCATTGTACATATCAATAAACTTTACGTTGTAGCATCTTTCGACGTAATCGGAGAATACGTAGTGCCACTAAATCCAATTACTACACTACACTACAGCGTTCATTCATTTATGCATCATATATATGCTATAAACGGGAGATTTTATATACATCTTTGCATCTAATCTGATCTGCAAGGCAATAAACAACAATGGTGGACCCAAAACTATATTTATCAATATTTCTGCCCTTCTTTCTTGTTTCATCTGCAGAATTTTCAGTCTCTTCTGCATTAATACCCACTTTGTCACCGGCGCCGGCGCCGGAACCATTACCGTTTGGCGGGATCAAAGGGGCCTACTGGCCGTCGTGGCTAGCTGGAACGGTCGCACCGGCCGCTATCCCCACTGAATATTTCACTCACGTTTTCTATGCCTTCGCTATCCCTGATCCCACATCGTTCCAGCTGCTAATCACGCCGGCCGACGGGCAGTTGATGCAGGACTTCACCTCCTCTCTGCATTCTCAACGCCCTCCGGCGAAGGCGGTTTTGTCCATAGCCGGAGCCGCCACTCTCGACATCGTGGCCAACTCTAAAGACACTCGCGCGTCCTTCATAAAATCAACCATTGATGTCGCCCGGAAGTTCGACTTCGACGGCCTCGATCTCGACTGGGAATACCCGAACACCACCGAAGCCATGGCCAACCTCTCTCTGCTCTTCCAAGAATGGCGGCTCGCCGTCGACCAAGACTCGTTTTCCAGTGGAAAACCACGGCTCCAACTATCTGCGGCCGTCTATTTCGCTCCCACTCTTCTCTTCCCGGCGTCCCTTAGCTACCCGGCCCACGCCATGAGGACATATCTGGATTTTCTGAACCCAATGTGCTATGACTACCGTGGCGCCTGGAATACTTCCGTCACAGGTAGGAATGTCAGGTTGGGCTAGTCCTATCGAGCTGTCAGACTTATCTGTTCGAGCTAATCAATTACTTTATTATTTTATTTTTGGGTTTGTGTTGATCTTACCTCTATCAAAATGGGCCTGCTGGCGTAACCTGCCAAAGCCCGTCCTGCTTGCCCGCCCACCCCGTCAAGCCCGCGGGTTAGGCGGGGGCGGGTTAAAAAGTCCCCTATAATATGGGCTCTGATTTTAAGAGCTCGCCTTGCCTTTTTGGTGGGGCGGGACGGGCTAGCTCGACAAGTTATGGCCGTTTTGATGGCTCTAATCGTATCCCTATGTTTCGAATTGTCAGACTTATTGGTTGGGTTAGCATGTTCAGTTTCAGACTAGTTATATTAGGTTCAGTTCAGACTAATCAATTATTTTATTTTCTGATTCGACTTGGCTCTAACCCTAAATCTCGACGGGCGGATTGCACCATCTGAACTAAAATTGAAAACTGTGACAGGGGCGCAAGCATTGCTGTACGATAGGACTAGTAACATCAGCACGAGCTATGGGATTTGGTCGTGGAAACAAACGGGCTTTGATTCAAGGAAGATTGTGATGGGGATGCCGTTGTATGGGAGGACATGGGAGTTGAAGGATCCGAAGGAGCATGGGATTGGAGATGCCGCAGTGGGGGTTGGGCCTGGGAATAACGGCGACGGCATCTTGAGTTACAGTGATATAGTTGGGTTCAATCTGGGGAATAACGCCACTGTGGTGTATGATAATGCCACAGTGTCTACATATTCATATGCAGGAACAAATTGGATTGGGTACGATGATGTTACATCAATCACCACCAAGATTCGGTTTGCTAAGGCTCAAGGTCTTGGTGGCTACTTTTTCTGGGCACTCGGCTATGACAACCAATGGACTCTATCTAAAGCAGGTAAATTATATTCCCTCTCTACTTTAATTTTACACCAACTAATTTTTAAAATTTTCAATCATTTATGTTCCATTCAAAGGTGTCAACTAACATGTCGTGTGATGACACCCCGATTACCATTTTAAATGGATGGATTGACAAAAAAAAAAAAAAAAAAAAAAAACGCGCCTAGGGGCGTGCCCCAACAAGCTAAGTTGTGCTGAAGCGGGTGTTGCACAACTTTTTGTCCATACGGGCCCCACATTTTCATACCAGAAACCCCTCCTCCTGCAAACATCCCATTTCTTCTCTCCTCCACATCATCCTTGTTTTCTAAAAAAAAAAAACACCCTAAAATCTACTATTGGGATAGCCTAATTGAAATTTCTATAATTGAAGTGAATTGCTTTAATCCTAGTTCAACCAAATTAATTATGTTTCTGTAATTGAGTGGCATGCATGTTTTTAATTATATCATAAAGCTTAAATGTGTTGAATAATGATGGATTCATTTTAATTTTGTGCATATAACTAACATACATTAATTTGCAGCTTCCATGGCGTGGGACGAGACAAATTGAAATGGATATGATGCAGCGCATGCAGGTTGATGAGGGTGAATTGGTGCTCATGT